GCATCTATTGCAGCACCCAAGAAGGCGGCTTTCGGACCTGAGAAAAAGCCAGCAACAAAGGAACAAAAAAGGCGAAATGAGGAGGATAAGAAGGTGTGTGTTTGGGCTTCTTTGATCTGGCCGCTGGCGCTGGCCATGACCTTTTTCAAGGGTCCTGATAAACGGGGGGCCCACACACCTTCTTTTGTTTCCTCCTTTTTCTCAACAATGATCAATTGACATCCGGAAGCATCACTGTTCCTCCACATGCAAATTTACCCACGGGACCCACATCATGGAATGGAGTGTGGATGGAAAATAAACGTCTAATAGAAGGCCGTGCTAGGATGCATGGTTCGCTCCCCCACCAATCACCAATCGACTCTGGTGATGTTTGGTTTATATAGGGTTTTAGTGTTTAGGGTTTGCGCTGCTCTTCACATGGAACTGTTGAGAGCCTGATCATTGTAGAACGTACATATTTAGAGTGAAAGTATTCCTATCTCTATTATTGAATCGCCAAAACTGATGACACAGCCTCAAATGCCCAAAGCCCCTCCTTTCGGATTGTTCTTTACAAGGTATTTGCTGCCCCTCAAAGTGCATGGGGGGAACCATGAGTCCTGGTCGTAAAATTCCCATGTCCAGCAAGGCATTGCCAAAAAGGTACAGCAAAAGTCGGAGAAGTGGTTGTGAGTTGAGGCGGAGTGTGAGTGAACACGTGTCGTGAAAATGTGTAACGATGTGTTCTGGCCGCATGATGACAACACCTATCTGGCTTGTGCTGTAAGAAAGCGAGGAGACTAGAAGCAAGTTGTGTAAGCCATCGGCGGAATGGAGGGCGAACACTCAGATTTGAACAGCTAAGTGGAGTATTTCAGTCTCGAGCGGGCTAAGAATTAGCCTGATGTTGAGCTAAGTGGGAGTTGCTAGACATCTTCCTGCAGCTTTGTCTTCGATTGAAATTGATGACATTGGATGAAATTTGTATATATATATGTGTGTTTAATGATTCATGCAACACATGTTCAATAA